AGAAAATCAACACTTTCACGAAGTGAATGATGCTAAACTGAAACAACTATTTATCATACATATATATCATATAACACATACACATAGACAAGAAACAAAAATGTACTTTGGAAGGTTATAATGCATTCACAAATCGTGTCAGAAATAGGGCAATGAAATCCTTAACTGTCATGTTTTTAACGGAGTGACGGGTGATGCAGATGATGTCATTTTGTCTTACGATCTCAACCTTATCGCTCAGGCTGACAAAGACCTATTTTTGCTTTGTGAAACCAGTGTAACTTCAGACGAATGTAATCTTAATTCTAACACAAGTGAACCACATTAATTATATTTCGGAGGGGGGCCTACTTGCGCCTTTGTATCCAAGTTCCATGATTGTTAATTGGATTGTCAGCACTAACCCATAATGTAATATGTGGTAAATGTTAACGTCACGTCGTTAAATAACTGAGATATTGCTTCAAGGATTTAAACATTGACTGGCCAACAGTTTTTTAATATGTAGAATTCTCAATCAAAAGAGCCTACATGTATGTACCAAATATCACCCCTTGAAGGGGATTGCGGTATTGATCGCATAATACACCTCCAGCGCCTCGCTTTCACCCTTATCCAGATATGCTATCACTGCTGGGTGATTTTAGTCCTTAGACATCGAGCTGAGGGTTAATCACACGACTCTCCGTGATATAAGTGACACACTTTGTGTCCAACACACCCACTCACTAATCACACAGCACTCCGTGGTATAAATAAAATTCTATTCAAACCAGTATTAAACCAAAACTCACCCACTCCCTAATCACACAACGCTCCATGGTATAAGTGAAATACTGTTCAAACCAGTGTTAAACCAAACTCACTCACTCACTAATCACACAACGCTCCATGGTATAAATGAAATAATTTTCAAGCCAGTGTTACAACCAAACTCACTCATTCACACGACGCTCCATGGTATAAACGAAATACTGTTCAAACCAGTGTTACAACCAAACTCACTCACTCACTAATCACACAACGCTCCATGGTATAAATGAAATCCCTCACTAATCACAGCACACTCCATGGTATAAGTGAAATACTGTTCAAACCAGTGTTAACCCAAACACACCGGTACCCACTCACTAATCACACAACGCTCCATGGTATAAGTGAAATACTGTTCAAACCAGTGTTAATCCAAACTCACTAACTCACTAATCACACAACGCTCTGTGGTATGAGTGAAATACTGTTCAAACCAGTGTTAAACCAAACTTACCCACTCACAAATCAAACAACCACTTACCAACTATCAATTATGCTTTTGATACAACTAATGAAGAAATTCACCTTTGTATTTTCAGTGCTTCTGATAGCTGTATAGACAGTGTGTGTATCAAACGGTGGAAATGATACATGGAGGTAATGTGTTCATGATCCTGCTGAATTCTTCGTTTACTGTCGTGAAAGAAACGTAATACATTTTAATCTCCATTTCAATTCAAGTTTAACACTCACCAATGATGACACTTAAAGCATTTGACTTGACTGCATGATTGACTGTATATTCATAAAAAGGTATTAAATATCAATTTAAAAGATCTGTATTGTGTCAGCTGTATAACTCAACTAACGTTTCTTCTAAGAAATGCCTTATCGCAGGCAAAGGTTTGCAGACTAAAACAAACACCACTTATAGTCTTTAGGGGGTGGTGGTGGTGGTGTTTGTGGTGTGTGTGTGTGTGTGTGTGTGTGTGTGTGTGTGTGTGTGTGTGTGTGTGTGTGTGTGTGTGTGTGTGTGTGTGTGTGTGTGTGTGTGATTTGCTATTATAGGTTCAAATAATCATCGCGTGTAACGACTGATCCTTGTCGCGATCGATTATGGTGATCATCGCCGATCATTTGGAGATTTTACTCTGGCGTCTCTAACGCTCTACAGATAAGTACTACCTACAAAAGATAATGGAACCAAATATTTGAATGTAGTTATCGTTGAGGTGTACATTTACAATACCGTGGCGTTCCATCTGAACGCAACATTTAATCACGATGAAATTTCACATCATACATGAACAGCACGAGAAGCACGTACACACAAAAGCCAAACGCTAAATAATGCCTCCGAGACAGTATATCAATGAACAGGCATTATGGCGAATTGTGAGTAACAGGGAGGGGGACGTCAATTTCCCCAGTTGCCAGAAAATCAAAGATTTCTCCATTATTGGACAAGTACCCTCAAACGAGTGGGTGTGCAATGAGACCTGGGCGTAGCAGGCCTAAAATAAGTAATACCAACACAAACACGTCTCTTAATCGACATTAATTGCAATACGCAATAGATTCAGCTCCGTTACGTTTGAAAGCAAGGGGTCCTGTGAAGGGTTTATATGTTGTTTAACGCCGCTCTCAGCAATATTCCAGCTTTATGACGGCCTGTGAAGGGTGTGAACCTAACACCTTACATTGTGCCACAGGCGGCAAGGATTGGGGTGGGCTAGGCAACATCAGATACGGTAATGGCGTTACACCCCGTTTGCAGACGAATCAAGGTTTGTCCTTCAATTTGAATGATAGTATAAAACGTTGTTGGCGACGTAGCGGCGAGTGGTATGACAGGGCAACAATTCTTGACCATGATCGGTATGGACAGACAGACAGACAACAGATAATATATTTTTACCTAAGAGTTACCTAATTGATACTTTCTTTTGTTGAAACACAAACATTAGACATTTTGCAAAATTTATCATTGTATCATTGTTGGGGTCTTTCTAAACAAAAATAATGATGATTAACTGCCTTTGGGATACACATTTCCCGCCGACTTATTGTATATAACATGACGTTGATCCTCAATTACACGACAGTGTTTACATAAGACGGCATCATCCTCAATATTGGCAACACCCCTACAAACAAGTTGAATACCAAGCGTATTTTGTCCACATCTAAATATGGCTATTAGCCTTATATATTCACAATGCTTAATATTTGATCGCCAACGATATAAGATTTATGCAGTTTATAGAATGAGAGGGTCTTGCTGCCTAGAGATGCAGACCCAGTACCCGCCAACAATGCCCCGCTTGGGGTGTCTCTTCAGGCTGAATGGCGTGCAATATTAAGGATAACCATGCACAAGTTTATCAACAGTATGCCATAAATGTGTCCTGCATGTATCGCCCAACATGGTGGACACACCAGGTCTACACGCCCGAAATTATTTAAAAGACATTAATCGTTATTACACTTTCACTATCATTTCACCAGTTTCCTTATTTTGTGTCGGTTGTATACATTAAAGGAAATAAAAACAGTAGTACGCATTCAAAGTCATTTAATTACGTGTGAATACTGTTGAATATATGTTTATATCTTGCCATAAAGATTCTTTAACACCTGGTTCAGTTGCTATCTTGTCCACAGTAGGCCCTCCTATGACGTGCAATAACGATTTCCATTATGTGTCAGTGTTTATCCTCTACTACGATCTGACAACTGTTTACTTTGTGACGAGGCGATTATGTTTGCAAACATCTGATCGATCGTTGTTTGTTGGATGTAATTTATTGTCAAAGTCTTAAGATATCTGTCACTGTGATGACTTCGTCAGTATTTAGTTCAATCGGATTTTTCTTTACATATCTATTGTACCAAGTATTGATACATTATTGGAAGCAGGACTGTCACTGATTATCGGCTAAAGTGAGATTATAAGTCTGAAAGACATGATGCATGCCTTGCGAGAGGTATAAATTTACACAAATAGACTGATAGGGGCGTATAGTTGCCCCCTATAGAGACAAGGCACAGTAATCATATTACCTTTATTCCTGTGTTGTTAAGGAGTGAGTTATCCGTGGCTTTATATTGTCCATCGATGATCTGGGCCATACATTTACCGCTGGTGAGTTTCGCTCTTATACATCATTGTTGACCAGCGTATGATCAGGAACAAGGTGAATATATAATGGAAATATTTTATAATATTCATTTGTTGCGATATTATGTAGTTTATACACTTACTATTATGCCTACTCTATTCTTAAAAATGTAGAAATTTAGTACGAGTAAATTAAGATTAATATGTTCTTACTTTGCGATACACAATATGCGAACATGCTTGAATTACAAAGACATATATTGAAGCATAGAAACAGCATAACTCCTATGTCAAACTATATGTACAGCGTTAGATTGATATTTATCTGGTTATATTACCTTCATTTAACATCACAAAATTATCCATGTCTTTACAGGTTTGTACAAATATGTATGTTCAAATGCATGTTTTCTTCTTGCGTGTGTGCCTGTGTGCCTGTGTGCCTGTGTGTCTGTGTATCTGTGTTTGCACGTTTCTTCTTTGATAAAGCTCTCAGCAATATTCCAGCTAAATAATCTTGTCCAGACTAAACAATCCAGTGATGAATATTATGAACAACGACCCACGATCGGGGCACGGTGGCACATCAACCAGGTCACCGAGTCTGACTACCCCCTTCATTAGGCCAAAAGAAGTATAGTCCCCACCAGTGTCATTTTCAACCCCCGCGCACGATGCCTCTCTTGTCTGTACAGCTCTGTGTGTGTTTGTGTGTGTTTGTGTGTCTGTGTGTCTGTGTGTTTGTGTGTGTGTGATATTATATGTATTTTTTGGTTTTCGAGTGCATTTTAGACATCACTGTACTGAAAATATATGAATTGCTGCAAAAGAGACAAAATGCCGGAGACAACAACGTTTTTTTTCCTCAGAATGCGAAGATGGGCTATATTATGTAAATAAACTTGTCAGCAACAACAAAAAGGGGGAAAACCATGTCTCGCGTCATTTTAGGCCAAGCCCCCCAAACCAGGACCTTAATTCGTTTTTTGGGGGGCCTCAACTCGCTGTTTACTACAAGTATTGGTTGCGGAGACAAAAAAATTTACTCCAATGTTCTTTCAGGTGGTCTGATACTTTGACAGTTAGGAATGTGATACACTGCAGTCTACGCACGGTGTTCACCAACTATCATGAGAGAAGTCATGGCGGAATATTTGTTGTCTCTCCTCCTGATTCTGATGCCTCTGTTCGGTGTGGATGCTCAGTCTAAACACTTCACAGGAGGATCAGTGAGCTTCAAGTTCGTCGATACATCGAAACCAACAGAGTATAAGGTATAGGCTTTATAATCATGTTTGTGTTGTTATAATTGAGATACACGTCTCGATGCCGCATACACATATTTGCACGAAAGTATTCTTGTTGGTCTGTTTTTATTATCACTACCGCAAAATATTGCACAAACTAACGACATATTTCCGATAATGAAGCCGATATTCAGGTGACATTTAGCGATTAAACGTATCAATGCCATGTGAAGAAATACATTAGTTTCGTATACAAAAGCATTGCAGAAATAATATTGGCCGCTATTTCGAACGAGGTATGTCATTATACAGTAACGGACATGAATACCTTATTTGCATGTTTAAACTTACATACTTGAAAGAGAATGTAAGAGACTGATATTTGAATTAATTTTCATTTGTACAAACTTTCTACGTCAATGGTTAAAGAAACAGTTAGCCATAACATGCACGGTGACCGACCGTTTTGTTCAAACTGAAAAATATGATGAAACAATCAGGTTTCTAAACATATCCCTTTTCCAGATCCAATTAACGATTGTTACCGGATGGACGTTGGGTCAAGGACCCTGTGGCGAACACTGTTCGATCAATGACGTGGGAAGAAGCACAGTTATAACTCGAAATCATATGTTAAACATGAATGGCGATGTATATTTTGGAAACTGGACTTCGGAGGCTGGATCCGGAAGTAGCGTCACTTACAGTGTGATCACTGACAAAGTAGCCAAGAGACTCACTGGCGAAGTAGCAGCCGTAAATGTGCCCCTCGGGTGGGAACAGGAAATAGCGGAGGTCATTCTTGAAGTCGATCCATTACGAAAATATACAGATATTGAGTACGTGTAATCAGCTTGTTATTTTCTGTCAAATTATTACATATTATACTACGTTTGTCTTGTAGTTCAGAAGGTGAACGTACGACTGTATTATAAGATGGCATGCACCAGTGCTCAATCTATTGTTCTACCAAAGTCGCCACGATGAAAAATTCTTTCTGCATCTTTTTTTGGCCAATATTGCATGCATGCATATGTAATCGAATGATGATGTTCCCCGTGATTTGAAGTTTTACTTCTTTCGACTAAATAAATAAGGCGAAGCACTTGGTTTGATTCCCAACATTGGTACACGCACTTGTACGCAGGCCTCTTACAATGATTTGTCGCCTTTTGGTTTAATATTTGTTTGGTTCAAATCACGATAATGCGGCAACGCGACAGCGCGAAAATGCGAAAAATGGCCAACATGTCGCATTGTCGAGGTTTGGTTATTTTTTACACTCTTTGCTTGTTTTTGTAAGGGATTCCATAGTAAGGGGATACAAGTGCTGATTTGATCTACTTACGTCCATATAATGTATCACAGGAAATAATAATTTACTAAACACCATGGGTAACTGTCATTTAAATGATTGTAACTTGATATAGAGAGGATATGAGTAGTATAGAACGGGTCCGCAGGAACCTTTTTTGGTTGAGGGAGGTTGAGTGAAAATAGGGAAGGTGATTGGTTGATCCAAGTCACGTGATCGGATAGGATGACTCATGCATCAACAGCACGTCACAGGTGAGGGGGAATGAAAGGTGTGTGTTTATAAAGACAGAAAAGAATTCATAAGAAAACAAAAGTAAAAGGTTATGAATAGGGCTAAATGTATAGCGTGCTGCCTTGAATAGACAGACCGTACCCGTCAGCCCAGTTTGAATTGAGCGCGCTTGACAACTGACGTGGCCTCGTCGTTTAACCCGCGCTCGCGAGAGCGTGCGATCTGGTTTGATGAATGCAGGGTGTGTCTTGAAAGTACGACCATACCCCAATAGAGACGGGTTATGTCAACACGATATACACCGTGCAATGTAGGGAAAAAAATGTACGGATCAAATTCATCTTGTACGGTCTACACGTTGTACACCATGAACGTTAGACAACCTGTATGGAAAAAAATACATAGAGATAAAATAGATAAGACTACACAATCAGCAAGCTAGCAGTGTCGTTTAATTACATTTAGCGCGCAAGAACGAGGTAGTCACGTCACCCTGCATTGACTATAACGCTGAAGGCAGCCGGATTTCGAATCACCCCGCGCTGCGTACTATTGTGAACCATTTGTATAGAGGGCGTTCACTTATTCAACCCTGTCCCGACTTGCATAGTTGATGTTTCAACGCTAGCGTTTCCATTTAACGCCATGACAAATAAACCGTACGGTTTGAGTTTTAACCGTGTAACATGATGTGCACAGTTTTTACTTCAGAACGTGCTATTTTGACAATAGATAGTTAGAACCATGTCTATGTTCAATAGAAAACTGATGAGTACACGTAGCAGTGTCACGGCACGAAGCTAGGTTTGTTGGGAAAGTGATGGAAGCAATCAATAAGACATTTCATGTTTACAATACTCACCCTTAATCGGATAGGATGACTTTACTATGTCTATACTAGCCTAGACTATACTACTAAAATTGAGGTCAGGCACCGAGATAGCCAACGCGCAGGTGTGTACATAATAATAATATCTGAATTGCTCAATGTTCAACATCGTTTCCCGTGTGACCGTTCAGACAGATACACAGGTGCATCTATATGGGTATATGGGTGGTCCGTATCCCAAGCTGTCAGTCATGCTGACAGTGAGCTATACAGGTGCGTTGAATGGCCAGTTACTATATGGCAATCATTCATCATAGAAACATCCTATATAAACACCACCCCGAATATCAGAGCGTCATTTCAGTTTCAACAGTCAGCAAGGAAAACATGGATTCATCAAACGCGTAAGTGTATTTCTTAATGACTTATTTCGTTTATATTAAATGAGAATACTACACAGCTTACACATGTTTCAGGCTGAGTGAAAAGGTATGTGTTAGTAAAAGTGATTATGAGTAACTCTCATTACCAACTTTATGAAGAAAACAATGTTGTATCTCTAGCGAGAATTAAAAGGAATGTTTTGTCTTTCAGACCATTCACCTGTCCACAGTGCGGGAAAGGTTTTAATAGAAAAGATAACCTTTCCCGTCATATGCGATCTGTTCACCAGGGTGAACGTTACGCGTGCGAGAAATGCTCTAAAAGTTTTTCTTCCAAACAAAAACTAAACCAGCACAAGTGCGCTGCCTGCTCGCAACAACGCCTATCGGAATACCGTTGTAGCGTAAGTTTATTTTCGTGAATGTAATCATCATTAGATTTAAGGGAATATGTGTGGGACTTTTATTTATCTTCCTATGCTTTTTAAAAGGTAATTTTCATTTAAACACATGTGGTTCATTCTATGTTGAAAACAAGGACATCATGCTATGTTAGTACGAGTATCGTTACTAAACTCGTACAGTCCCTTTAAGAACACTGCTTTATTTCTACATACAGAAATGCCCCGAGGTGTTCCCCTCTCCCCGTGACTTGGCCGTGCATTTTCGACGGTGTCATTCTAGCGGTAAGTTGAATGTTCATAATGCCATCTGAAGTAAAAGTGTGAAAGACATGGGTTATTAACTGTATTGAAAATATCACATTCGTGACTTCGAGCTTATCATTTCACTCGAATAAAATATGCTCAGATGCTATAGATTGAACATATCTTTTCTCCACAGGCGCAACACAGACGTCGCGTGATGACGCACGGCCGTCTACCTCCAGTGCAGTACCGATTAGTGGGGGTGAGTTCTATTTTGTATCTATCTATCTAATATCTATCACTTCATTCATCCATGTACGAGTGTTAGTATTAACGAGGTTCATACCACATAGGGTTTCCATATATGTGTGTCGTGTGTTTGTATATAGATAGCATTGACTGGGATGTTTTCAGTTAACTGTTTTGTATTTCAGGGACAACCTCTACAAACCAGCCTACACCGTCCACCTCCTCGGGGCAGGTTGCAAGGGCGGGAAACTGTCGTGCTAGTGGAGGTAGATATTGAATAGTATTTTATAAGCTATGGATTTTAGGTAGCCCTGAATTATATGTATTAGTTCAATCCGTCATGGTGTTCATATGTATTCGCTTTGGAAGTATTATATAGCACGTGTAAGTCATGATATTTATTTGAAGCATAAGAGCTCGTAGTGATTGAGTGAGTGAACGATGCTGTTATAGGCGAGCACAGTATTCATACATTGAATTTTATTCTATCACCAGCTCCCTCGTGTTCCCGCATCGCAGCATCGGATGGTTGTACTACCTGCCGGACGTGTCATAGGCGTTTCGAGGATCGGTTGTCTCTCTACCGTCATCAGATGATAGAGGGACACCGTGTCCTACCATCGCAGTCCGGCGGGAGTATGGATACCGATGCTGTTGGTAGTGAGCTCCAACCACGCCCATGGGGAGAAGGTCCCGCCCCGTGGGTAGAGGAGAGCACTGGCAAGGTGACGGAGCCCGGACTCCAGGAAGCCTATGACCTGGACGCTCCCTACATCCTCGCGCGGGACCAACCCGGGGAGGTGTTTTCGACATTCAACCTCCCCGTCAGCAACAACTTTTCGATAGGTGAGTTGATGGAACGCGCTAGGGGTATCTATCAATCATTAAGTTATAGTTTTAGGTTCAATCTAGCGTTCGGTGTCATCCTGCGTCACGTGGAGACGGGACGCTATCGCTATTTCCATCCTTACGCTGTCGATCCGCTCTTTACTAGTCCTCTCTATATCACCGAGCTGAGGGATCTCGAACGGTTGCGTCAGAGACTGGAAAGCTTAGATGTGATGTCTTATCTATTGAAACAACGCCCCGATACCAAATGGAAACCCGTTTTGATCACGAATATACAGTTTTACGCGTACAGAATGAATTTTCCTTTAGGCCATCCCCCTGTTGCTCTCCCCGATTATCTGAAACACCATAAAGCTATTATCTGTTTACATTATAATGCTAATTCTGGTCGACGATACGAGGACCATTTATGTGCTTTCCGGTGTCTGGCTCTGTATCGAGATCCATCCGCTCGACCATCACTAGAAAAGCCTACCAAAGCTCTTTACTATCAGTGGGTCGCCTACACTCGGGACCATCATCTCCAATCTTTGTATCAAGTTCGTCCCGAAGAGTACGCGGGTCTCCCCCCTTCTCTCCTGTGTCACTTTGAAGCCTGTTTCCGTGTGAATGTGAGCGTGTTCACTCTAGACGTGACGGGGATAGCTCAACCCGTGTATAAATCTAGAGGGTTGTATCAGGAACACATGTACTTAAATCAATTCGAAAATCACCTATCCCTCATTACCAATATGAACATCTATTGTAAACGCTACCAGTGTCCCACGTGCGAACGCCTCTTCCGGCGCAAAATCAAATGCAACGAACACCAACGTCGTTGCACGGCTCAAACGACTTTGCGGTTCCCGGGTGGTTTCCACCACACCCCAAAGACCGTGTTTGACGAGCTGGAAGAGTTCGATTTCGTCGTCGAGCCTAGAGACAGATATTTCCCGTGGTTCGTGGTGTTCGATTTTGAGTGTTTTTTGAAACCGATGAATACCGGAACCCAGAAACTGAGATGGACGCAAGAACACCACCCCATCTCGGTCAGCGTGTGTTCCAATGTGGAAGGGTTTACTTCGCCGCACTGCATCGTCGATTCCGATCCGGATCGACTGATTGCTGCCATGTTGTCATACATGACGGAAATAGGAGAAGCCGTAAACGAGCTATCCAAAGAAAAATATAAAGGGGTGTTAGAACGCTTGCGCGAGTGGATGCAATTGTTGTCTGACGAGGACCAGGCGACTGTTGACGACGACGACGACGATGATGATGATGATGATGATGTCAACGTCAGGAAGGGTGACAACCACCCCGCCAAAGGCAAGTCTACTCGCGCACACTCTACCCCCCTGGCTAAGTGGAGAAAGCACGTGAGCGATCTCTGCGGGAAGCTTCTGGGGTACTGTTCTCAAGTCCCCGTCCTCGGTTTTAATTCAGCTCGTTACGATCTGAATATCATTAAGGAAAAACTACCCAAACATCTCTCTCTCGACGACGTCGAATCTCAGGCTTTCACCGTCAAGAAAAACAATGCTTACTTGTGTCAAAGTAATCAAAGTTTCAAATTTCTTGACGTCACGCAATATCTCTCTCCCGGAACGAGTTATGCTCAGTTTCTGAAAGCATTCGGAGTGCAAGAGAAAAAGGGATTTTTCCCGTACGAGTATCTCGACACTCCGGATAAGTTAAACGAAACTCGGCTTCCCCCTCTGGGTGAGGCATGGTATTCCAGTCTCAAACAGAAGTCCGTCCTCGACGACGGTGTGAAATCCATCGAGGAAAATTATGCCGAGCTCGAGGAAGTTTGGAGACGGGAAGGCATGTCCACGTTTCGAGATTTCCTCGAGTGGTATAACAATCTGGACGTGGGTCCCTTTGTGGAAGCCGTACGAGCCATGCAACGGTTTTATTTCGAGGATGGCATCGACCTCTTTAAAACCACTATGTCGGTACCCGGTGTGGCCCGTCAGAAACTATTCCGGGAGAGTCGAAAGTTAGGGGTCTCCTTTGCTCTGTTCGATAAACGCAACGAAGACCTCTATCACACCGTGAAGGGTAACGTGGTCGGCGGTCCTTCTATCATATTCACGAGGTACCACAAAGCCGATCAAACGTTGATTAGAGGCCATCCCGAAAAACGGTGTAAAAGGGTGGTTGGGTATGACGCGAACGCGTTATACTTGTGGGCTATAGATCAGCCCATGCCCACCGGTCCTTTCGTGCGTAGGAGAGCCGAGAATCGATTCAAGCCGGAACGCAGGGACAGGTACGCGTGCATGTACGATTGGATGGATTGGTTGAGGGAGCAGGAAGGGCGGGACATTCGGCACAAGTTAAACTGGGGGCGGGAAAAACGAGTCGGGCCGTACTTGGTGGATGGGTTCATTCCCGGCTCCATGACCGTATTCGAGTTTCATGGATGCTATTTCCACGGCCACCATTGTCACCTCACGACGAAAGCGCGCGCTCAGGAAAAATCAAGAGAACGATTAGAACAAAAACTAAAGGCAACCAGAGCGCGCGCTGCTTACATCCGTGATCTGGGTTACACGGTCGTGGAAATGTGGGAATGTAACTTTCGCGCCGAGTGCAAAACTAATTCCCAGCTCTCGTCCTTTATTCGAGATCGTCAACCACCTTTCACTCAAAAGAAGGCGTGGAAGAAGGTCTCGGAGCGGGACATGTTGAACGCTGTGGAAAAGGGGGAACTTTTCGGCATGGTGGAAGTGGACATTCGCGTCCCCGACCACTGGATGCCTGGACAGAACCCTCACGGCACTCGTCTCTCCCCGAAGGAGTACTTTCAAGAGATGACTCCCTTGTTTTGCAATGCAGAAGTTCCGTTCGAGATTATCGGGGAACACATGCAGGGGTACATCAGGGAAAACGACTTGAGTACAAAACCGCGCCGTATGCTCGTTGGCGGGTTAAAGGCGCGGAAAATCTTGATCGCCACCCCTCTGTTGCAATGGTATTTACAGCACGGCATGGTGGTCGATCGCGTGTACCAAGTCGTCGAGTACACCCCGAACGCGTGTTTTCAGCAGTTCGTTCGGGACGTGTGCTCGGCCAGACGAGAAGCCGACCGAGATCCCTCAGCAGCCATTCGCGGGGATACGGCTAAACTTACGGGCAACTCCGCGTACGGTTCGGTTTTGATCAATAAAGAAAAACATCAGACCGTCTCGTACGTGTGTGGTCAAACGGCGGCTAGCACACAAGTCAATTTCCCTCAATTCAGGAAATTGACGGAACTGGGCGGGGGTTATTTCGAGGTGGAGAAAGCCAAGAAAGTCATACGCCTCGATACTCCCGTGCAGCTGGGGTATTTCATCCTGCAGTACGCCAAACTGCGCATGCTTCAATTTTACTACGATTTCATGGACGTGTACGTGGATCGTAGCGATTTTGAATACATGGAGATGGACACGGACAGCGCTTACATGGCCTTGAGCGCGAAATGTCTGTCCGACGTCATTAAACCCACCAAACAGTCGGCGTACCAGGACCAGTTGAAGGGGCTCTGTGGTGACCATAACCCGGACGACAGCCACGTCACGCGTTGGTTTCCACGCAGTTGCTGTTCCGTCCACGCCCTTCACGACAAACGTACTCCGGGTTTATTCAAACTCGAGTACGAAGGAGACGAGATGATCGGACTATGTAGTAAAACGTACTTAGTCTCACAGTCCAGTCTCCAGCGAACGCCAAAGCCAACGCCGAGTTCGAGCGTACGTACAGCACAACGTTTACTACGCCGTGCTCGCCGCCGGCTCGGTCGCAACAAGCCCGTCAATAACAAGGCCCGACGCCTCCGTTCAAGCACCCCTGTCGTCGGTCATTTCGAACGCCGGGTAAAATTCTCCTGTAAAGGCATCTCGAAACGCACACTGAAAACACCACTAAGAGCGTTTAGAGATGTTTTACGTACGCAAGTACCCGGCGAGGGGTTGAACAGAGGTTTCCGACTCAAGGGGAATACCATGTGTTCCTATCAACAGACACGTCAGGGGTTGAGCTATCTGTATTGTAAACGTCGAGTGCTAGCCGATGGCATTCACACAGCCCCTCTAGACCTAGAGCTTTGTCCTTGGCCTTCCCGTGATGACAGGTTGGATGACACCGACACCTTTTTGGCCGAACTTTTAGAAAATTTAGCAGAAAATTAAACAAACAAAATAAGTCCCAAGCGCGTTCCCTCAACTCCAGTAGTGTACATATTATAGTTATTTATTTATTTATTATTATTAGAAGCATATTGTGATAAACATATTGTGATAAACATAAGTATTTCTATCAAAAGTATTCTCTTTACTACTTGTGATATTTTGGTTTCTCAAATGTATTTACATGAATAAATCTATGTTATTTTTGAAAGAGTGTTGGTTGTCTTGTCTTGTCTTATGCCATGTAGGTCTACTTTCTAGAAGTCGTGTATGTCTTATGCCATGTAGGTCTGCTTTCTAGAAGTCGTGTATGAAATAATACATCCATTCGCATACGAGTCCCGTACCCACTCGGAATAGAATGTACTGCCTTCTATAAGTTCACTACATAGTGCAAACTTATCAGAAAATAAGACTGGTTTCCCTTGTTGTTAAGTGAGAAAATAAGACTGGTTTCCTTTGCGGTTGACGACACGCGTGAGAAAAGAAAACTGGTTTCCTTTGCTGTAAGCAAAAGAGGCAAAGTTAGTTTCATGGGAGCCATTCTACACCCTAGTCTCGGAGGGCGATGCTTTGCGCTATTATGTGTATTGTTAGCGAATGGGGGTGTGGGTAGGGTGCTTATTGTAGGCGCAAAGGGGACAGGCCCTTTAAGAGCGACTTCAGCGTATTGCGATTCTATATACCGCATAACATTCACACAAACAACACGAGACTTCCATTCTATCGATTCAGTGTTTATTACTAATAGTTCGTTAATGGTGATACATAAGACAGTATAGTCATTTTAATACACAGTTTCCAGTGGCAACATGAGACAAACTTTCTATCAATTCACGTTTAAAACTAACAACAAGAGAGATTCCATACTATTTTACAGTTTCTAATGGTTTGAATTTCTTCTTCGCACCGGGAACACCGTCCCTCACTTTGCCACGCACGAACATGGGTTGAGTTCGTTTTCTCTTGCCTTTTCCCACCTGAGAGAAAAAGGGTTGTGAGTTGGGTAGATGTTTCAGTTGACGGGTAAATGCTTGAAATCCAACATCTTTTATATCGTTACTGTGTAACACAAACTGTCGAATACTGTCAATCACATTAGAATGCTTTATAGGGTGTCCGTGTTTATCCAACCATTCGAGGTTAGCATTCCAGTTAATGCGGCCGAGCTCTTTTTGTTGGTTGAGATATTGCCATAGCGACACTAACTTTCCCTTTCGGTCGTTCGAGTGGACGCGTTGTAACAGTAGATATAAAACATCTTGACAGTATAGGAGGGGTGGGTTCGCTACTGTTGCATTCCCTCCTCCTCCTGTTGTCTGTGGGATATGTGAGGCGATGTTATCGTGGATGGCCGTGTCCCGCTCAGCCGGTGGTTCCTCAGTTGTAGTGTTGTCTGGAGTCTGCTGCTGTTGTAGCATAGGGGCTGGTGGGGGTTTCAGGGCTGGAGGGGGGTTGGCTTCCATCTTCGGAGGAGGTTGGATCAGGCGATGGTACGTCTCGCGAGATAACAGGATCATGGGTTTCGTCATGTTCGGGTGCGAAATACCTGTCGAGCGCTCTCACACAAGGTGGTAATATAAAGTGAAAAGAAACCAGCAACTCCCTTTTAGCTCTGTATCCTTCTCGTTTGCTGGCTAGTAACCGAATGATCTTTCTGTACCGGTACAAGGTCTTTTTCTCGCGATCCGTCACGGTAATGTGTCCGATGATAATGTTATGTAACAGCGTGATGATGGCCTTAAACTGGTTTTTGGACAGATGAGACAGTAACGTTTTACGCTGTACAGGCTTAGTCCGACTCAGTACGTGGAGAAAATCCACGTTATCTCGAATACACTCGCTCATGGTGTGAAGCGAACCTTTTTGTACGTATAACCTACAGGCCCGCCGTATGAATCGGGTTGGTCCACTCCAATACGCCAAGCTTCTTTAAGAGATGTGATGCACGCTTCCTTCGATGAAAACCACGTAGGGCTCTCTTTTAAGGTGATCTCTTCGGTATGGTGCGGGGTAGCTCTTACGGACAAGGTAGAGGGTGGCGGGTTACACACGATGGTCCAAAAGTAGACCTTGCTCATAGCGCGGCTGCTGTAAGACTGACTCGCGTGTTTATCGCTTTTTATTTGGGAAAATAGAGGGTGCAAAGTTCGCCGGGTAAGATGCCGGTGCGTAAGCGTCCGTATTCCGGGTCACTGTACGGCGAGGCGTCCACGACTAAATAACCGTATTTCCTCCCTTCCACGGCATCCTTGTAAGATTCCGAAAAAAACTTGCTTTGACCTGGAAATATTTGCGAGGCCAAAATCTTGTATTCGTGAGCGGAACGGGGATTGCTCATCAAGACGAATATATGCGTATTCACGCTCACCGTCCGTGAACAGGGACCTTTAGGGTAGACGGACTGTAGCAGATTGATTACGGTAATACCCAGATGATGCGACAAGGTGGTGTATACGTTTAACATGAGTTTACTGGTACATATGTCCATCATGAGATCGTCTAACACGAGAATCATGTTTTTGCACGACTGATCGGACCACAAACGTAGTTGGCTTTCGCTGGGCAAAGATTCGTGAAACTGAATGTTAGCAATAGATTGCTGCACGTCGGCGTACAGATCCTGCCACACCCCGTAACAGTACACGATGAGGTCGGGTGGCTTATCAAACACTGTACTGGCATTCTCTAACAGGCGTTTCGTCCAATAGGTCTTGCCGCTACACGTGCCCCCGATTACGGACAAGGTGGTAGGTGTGATGAAAGGGAGCAAACATTTCTCGGACATATTTCACGGAGTGTTTGTTTGAACTGATACATTCTGTCACCGGTGCGGGCTTATTTATGCAGCCCTCGGTACGAGTGGCCGTTGTTGACGTCTAGCCAGTCTTTGGAGAGCTCTTTGGGCTTCGTCTCTGACCTGTCTGACGTGTTCGTACTCGAATATAAACTGAATCAAGGGAGTATGGTTTAACAGGGTTCGCTTAATGCTTCTATTCGTCGTGTCGGGACGAGCGATACGTCGCAACATTCTCAAATAATGGTTGTGGGGATGAGGCTGTAAGAAACGACGATTCTCACCGCGTGATACCGGGATGCGAGCATCGAGCAATCGCTTTACGATGGCTTTAGTACCCTTGATTTGCTCGCCGTTCATGCTGCGAATATCGCGCAAGGTTTCTTGGTAATCGTTCGACGAAAGAAGTTGTCTGAAAAACGTGTAATGTCGCAGGACGTATCTCGCCATGTCTGAATCGTACGGTGTCACACTCGACAATGACACGTACTCGTGAGACTTTGATCTTAAATAATCATGAAAACCGTATAACCCAACTTACATTGAACCATATACATACGTCCATGTCATATATAGAACTGAAACACAATAGACATTTTCTCTGTTTTTATTGACTCGTCTACCACTCTACAGGAGGAAAGATCGTGTTATATCGTAAAACACGTGAAACAGTACTTGAAATAGTCACAGATAAAGCGAGTCACATACGCGTCATTGCGTGTTTTGTCTGTACCAAACATCTGTACGATATCTCGTAAACTAGCACTATTTCTACATTTCTGTAACGCGTAATATAAACAATAGAATCCACAAGCACTCGAACTTGATTGCTGTAAAACAGACGTGTTATATCGATAACTGCGAGAATGTCTCTTGATAAAATATTCAAATTCACGATGATAGTAACTGGGTTTCTGTCCATAACTATCAAAAAACTCGCCGACTCCACACCCGTCAAAGTAAAAGGCAACCCAATGTTGACCCTCGCCACGTGCTAGGTCCGTGTTAGCCACACATCCCCATGGTTTTCCACTGGAAGGTACGGTGATGTTAGCTAATGTATCTCTCGCGTACACACCCACCACGTGTGTACGGAGGCTGGGGTCGCTACGGATGGCACACTGTAACTGTCGTTTGTACATTGTCTACTTTAGAAACACGTTACGGCTTTGGTCGATTTCGATGAGGGCCGGAAACTTGGCCAGGGCGATGACGTTGAAGGTATGGGCGAGGGCTTGAGCAAACTGGACTTCTAGTCGTAGATTACCCGACTTGACCAGATTCAGATATTCCCCTCTGTCGCCTTGTATGTCTTGCAGGTTAAACACGTACAAGGCATGACCTACGGAAAATTCCGTGCGGTCCAAGTTCAAACCTTTGTCTTTGCGCCATTCGTTATTCCAGTCGTATAGACCGGCGTAAGCCTCGACGTCGTTCGACTCTAACGGTCGTCCGGGTACACTGGTACCGTTCAAGTACAGTCCCATGCTTTTAACGATGTCGCCTTGGAAACAGAAGGGATTGACCGTGTACGATCCGTTCACCCCATCGGACCTCACCAAGGCGACCACGAGTCGACTGGGGACTTCGTCCTGAAACATGGCGTCCCAGTTAAAACTCAGACTGGACGAGGCGACCGAGGCCATTTTGATCATGGATCGTTCGTACGGGTACAGGGCGTTGGCTTTTTCGAACTGTTTGTTGTGGGCCACGATGAGAGCGTCGTTGATCCTCAGTTTGCATACTTTCAGGTATACGTCTTGTAGTTCGACGGTGTAATGTTTATCGGTCTCGTCGGACATCAAGACAAAGGTCGTGTTGGAGCGAAACAGTTTGAGCCCCACGTCCACGCCGTTCACCAGATGACGGTCGAAACCGAACACGTCTTCCATGAGGGGTCCCGTTAGGGTGAGCGACTTGCTTCCGGCGATGAAGCTTCCTCGATTAATGAGACCGTCATTGCTACCGGCATAGGGATCAGCGGAGTTAAAATCACCCACGGTGACACCCGAATCTTTGTAATACAGCTGACTGGTCAGCTGACTGGTCTTGGTATCGGCGCCGTAGTCGAGGACGGTTTCCATGAGAGCTTTGTAAGGGTAACCGGCATTGCTGGAGCTCACTTGTTGTCCCTGTAGGAACACGCTCACCTGATTCCACAAGCTGTGCAAAGTGAGGTTGACGGGCCCTACTTTTTCTTTATCGGCTAAGGGCGTTTTGTCGGTGTGAGTGACTTTGAGTTTGACGTGAAGTCGGGTCTTGCTCAAGTCGATGTAGTCTTTCCCTCCATTGGGTATGTGAAATTCCACCGGACTGGAATCGGTGATGACGGACAGTGGCCTTACGTTCTCGTAGTAATGTTGAAGGATGCTGGTTTGATAGGGTGGCAGTTCGAATAAATCTAAGCTGTTTGG